TTTGACATGAAAAACCTTATTTTGTTCTTTGAAAAACCTTTAGAAAGCGGTGGTGGTTCGTGTTTGCGCAGCGGCGGTGGTTCATGGTTGCGCAGCGGCGGTGGTTCGTGGCTTTGAAAAACGAATGGGAAGGAGAAGGGGAAGGGGAACGATAAGGAGGAGAGAGAAACAAAGGGGAAGGAGAAGGAGGAAAGAGAAACAAAAGGAGAAGGAGGAGAGAGAAACGAAAGGAGAAGGAAGGAGGAGAGAGAAACGAAGGGAAAAGAGAAGGAGGAAAAGCAGAGAAGGAGAAGAGAGAGAAAGAGGAGAGGAGAAAGAGAAACAAAGAAAATGAGGTTTTTTTTTATATATATGTTAGAACGTTCGGACGGAATTTTCCGTCGGAAAAATAATCCTTCGGAATATTTTGGTTTTCCGAGGGAATATTCCATAGGAAATTTCCAACTAAATATTCCGTCGAAAGCCTATTTTTCCGAAGGAATTAATTTTCGTCGCAAGAATTCCGACGGATTTTCCGTCGTAACGTACCTAATCTGACGGAATTTTCTGACAGACCCTAATTCAGTCGAAAGTTCGAATTTTCCGACGGAAGTTAGGTTCGTCTGAACAATTCCCTCGGAAAACGGCCTATTTCTAGTAGTGTTCTTTAAAATAAGATCCATTTATAATATATGTTTAATCACAAACATTTATACGTAGCTGGCAAAACCGTGTCACCAACTATTACAAAAGTTACTTCGTTAGTGCTATAAGGGTTACTTGGTTAGGTTATATTGGTTACTCAATCAATGTTATAGATAGGGGTTACTTACTCAGTGTTAGAGGTTACTCAGTTAGTATTATAGGGGTTACTCGATCAGTTTTATAGCCGCATACAAAATGCGTTGTTATTTAACTTATTTAAGAAAATATTAAAGAATCAATAAAAATAAGTTTTAACCGATAAAAAATAATTTTAATTTGGTGAAAATTCTTTCAGTTCAGTGAACATAATTTAAGTTCAATAAATATAATTTCAAGTTAATAATAACATAAAAGTACACTATTATCTAAATTTAAGACATATGATATCGTATGTTTTAATATCCTACGTTATCAGAACAAATTATTTGACCGTATTTAACATAAAAATATTATCCTAATATTTTATCAACCTAGGCATCGCCCGGGCACAAAACTATCATATCATATCACTAATAAATAAAGCCGGTCTCGCAGCCAGGCCACGAGACATCGACACTTTGACATTCTAGTTTTCGCTAAGTGTTGAGTCACGTAGGCGACATATAGATATTAATTGTGATTAGATTAGATGTCACGTTAGATTAGATTGAATAGATATGTTTAGAATAAAAAAAAAAGTATACATAAAATAATTTATAATTCTTTTGATTTTTTTTATCTTTTTATTGACGATAGAATTTTACTTATAACAACACACCACATATTACAATTATGAATATCTAATTAACAATAGAATTTTACTCCTATACGAATAACCACGAAATTATAATTATAAATATGCCCATGTATCACAATTTTTTTTTATTTTTTTATTTTTTAGTGTACCATTGATTTACCATTAAAGCTTTTGAATCAGGTATTTTTCATATTCGGTTGTAATGATTTTGTATATGTTTGTGATTTTGTTGATGAAATTAAGTAAAAAACTACTAAAATTAGGACACAGCAAAAACTATATTATACAAGGGAATCTTGAAGTGAATTCAGATCAATGTTAGCAAAGTCTTTGAACTTTACAGATTTTACAAAGCCTCCGTAACCCCATTTACCAGTCATATATTACAAATGGTCCAATTAGGCCAATAATATAGTCTATTGATTTTACGTGTAGGAAAAATAATTACTTTTAACTTTTTATCTATTTTATTATTTTTCTACCGACACACTCTTCTTTTCACAAAATTATACTCCCTCTATTATTTTAGTGCCCAATTAAAATTTAGCACATATGTCGACATAGAACTTAGATAAACAATATCCACTACAAGAAAACAGCTTGATTCTGACGGAAAAAATCCGTCGGAAACATCGAAAATTCCGTCGAAAAATGGTCTTCCGACGGAATTCTCTCGGAATCAGTCTGTTCCAAACCCTTTGTAGGAAATTCGACCTTTTTTCCGATGGAATTTCCGTTGGAAGGCTAGTTTCTGACGGATTTATTTCTGTCGGCGCATTTTTGGCTTTAATTGAAATTCCGTCGCAATTTTTCGACGGACATTTCCGTCGGAGTTGGAGAGGTATCCGACGGAAAATTCCGTCGGAAAAGTCTATAAAAAGAACAAAAAAAAAACAGCTAGAACCACCCACACCACCCCCCACCACCACGTCCAACCCCTTTTCCCACACCACCCACCACCACCACCACATCCAACCGAAAAACCCACCCACCACCCTAACCCGTATCCCCTCCCCACCACCCTAACCCGTATCCCCTCCGAACCACCCAAATACCACCACCGAAACCACCACCCACCTCGCCAGATCTACATACTAAATTCGAAACCACCCACCTTAAACCACCCAATTAACCCACCTAATTGAACCCACGACCCATCATCTAAACCCACCTAATTCGAACCCACCCACCTTAAACCACCCACGACCCACCGTTTATCACCTAAACCCATCCAAACGAAACCCAGAACCACCAACACCGAACTCCAGCAGCCACACCACCCACCAAAACCGTATATATCAAAAAAAAAAAAACTGATTAAATAACAAAAAAAAATTCAGGAAAAAAAAAACATAACTTAATTCAACCACACAAAACCGCAAAATTGGGTTTACGAGGTCAAATTCGTCCATGAAAACTCTAGATCTAGAGTTTTCATGGTCGAATTTAACTTGAAAACCTTTGTTTTTGGCAAATTTGTTGTTGTTAATGTCGGTATTAGTGGTTTTGGGTGAAAAGGAGGACGAGGAGGGAGAAGGAGTTGTTGTTGGTGTCAGTGTTGGTGGTTTTGGGTGAGAAGGAGAACGAGAGGACGAGGAGGGAGAAGGAGTAGTTGTTGTTGGTGTTGGTTATGGTGGTTTTGGGTGAGAAGGAGAGGACGAGGAGGGAGAAGGAGAGAGAAGAGACGAGGAGGGAGAAGAGGAAAGAGAATAGAGGAGGACAGAGGAAAGAGAAGAGAGGACGAAGAGGAAGGAGAAGAGAATAGGAGAGGAGAGAGAAAGAGAAGGAGAAAAGGGAAAGAAAAAGGCGGATTTCGTGTTAGGGTTTCCTGTTTGTTTTTTTATTTTTTTTATTTTTATAAATTAGATTCTGACGGAATATTCCGTCGTAAATTTCTGACGGAATAAAAATCCGTCGGAATATATGGTATTTCCGACGGATTTTAATTCCGTCGGAAAATTAACTTTCTGACGGAATATTCCGTCAAAATACCCATATATTCCGACGGATTTTTATTCCTTCGGAAATTTCCGAGGGAAAAAAATCTGTCGAAATTTCTTATTTTTCCGACGGAAATACGTGTCCGTCGGAAATAGTCCGTCGAAAATCGGTCTATTTCTTGTAGTGATCTTAATTATATATATTTTTGTATGTATAATTCACAAACATTGGTCGAAGTAGACCAAGTGAATATAGTGCAACTTACAAAAGTAGAAAATAATAATAAACGCTCAAAAAGAATAGTAGGCAGTGTTTCTACTCTCTTTTTTTATCTAACATTTGAAATAAAATATAAATACTAATTATTATTATTATTATTATTATTATTATTATTATTATAATAATTATAATTATAATTATGATACAAAGCATGCCTACAATTACGTACACTCTTTAAAATGGGTATACGGGGCAACGCTCGGGGCACGTACTAGTATATATATAAAAGGGAATTTTTTCCTGAGTCTTTAGAGAGCCACATAAGATTTAATTTTCTTAGCGCGCCATGTAGGATTATAAATTTTGGTGGTAGCCAATGAAATAAGATATTATTAATTTCTTTTAGAATTAAATAATTCAAATGCCACGTAAGCAAAATTGGCGAATGAGATTTAAAGTTTAATTTAATTAGATATAATATATTATCTTTTGAGATTAGGAATTTTATCTATATATATAACGAATGAGAGAAATTCACAATTTATTTTTAAATAAAAATATTAAATGAAATAAAATAACAAATTTTATCACATAAATACAAAAAATATTTTGTTTTAAAATATAAACAAACCTTCATCTAGTATATATAAAAAGCGGAGTTTTTTCTTGAGTTTTTAGAGAGCCATGTAGGATTTAATTTTCTTAATGTGTCATGTAGGATTACAATTATTAGTAATAGCCAATTAAATAAGAGAATATAATTTCTTTTAGAATTAAATAATTCATTTGCCATGTAAGCAAAATTGGCAAATGAGATTTTTAAGTTTAAATTAATTAAATATTAAATATTATCCTTTAAGATTTGAAATCATATCTAAATTATAACGAATGAGAGACAATTTACAATTTATTTTAAAATAAAGGCCACGTGGTGTGACCAATCACATATGGAATTTTGTGAAATACTCCCTCCGTTTTTTTTATTTTATTTTTATTTGCATCACTTGGTGATGCGCGGAGATTTAGGAGAGTAATATATATTGTGAGTGGATGAATAATTTATTATAGTAAAAGTTAAATAGGGAACATGAAAGAGAAAGAATGTGAGGGAGAGTAAATATTTTTATCATATAAGTGAGGACCATAAAGGAGAGAGAAATGATAAAATAATTTAAGTGGGGTTTAAATTAAGAGAGAAAAATGATAAAATATAGTATAAAGTTACCAAATTAGGAAGTGATGCATTTAAAAAAAACGAAGGGAGTAAAATATTATCTTTTTACATTAGTTTATCTATATATGAAAACAAAATTAATACTTTATTTTATAATAAAAAATTCAAGTATTAAATAAGCAAATACCTAATACATATATATTTAGTAAAATATTTTGTTTGAAAAAATACAAACAAACCGCGCACAAGCTTTATCGACAAGACTCCGTATTTATGATCCGTCGTGCTCCTATACAACTTCCTAGTTCACTGATCTGTGACCACCCTGCCAATATTGAATTTGTATTGGTGAGTAAAGCATTAAACTTGATAATTCATGCACATGCTCCTTATAATTTGTGGTTTACTTTGATTTTACTATTTTATTTGATTTGAGAATATTAATTAAAATGTTTGCTTCACTATTACTTTAGCTTCTGTGTTTCAGGGTTCTTTGTGTTTCCTAATAATTTTCCGCAATTTCTGTAACATAAGCATACGTACGTTTGTTCTTTGAATTTAAAATTTAACATATTTTGTTCGTATGTTCAAATTAATTTACATCAATACATTTTTTTGTTGTTTTAAAATGCAGTTCTTTTGCCAAATTCTTCAGTTTCCAATTGCCGAATAAAACTGCCAAACTGAGTGTTTAACATTGTACTTAATTTTCTTGGGTTTTGTTGGCGCTTACAAGGAGAGTTGCTTTTGGGTTTTGTTCTATTTATTTTATTTGGTCAAAAGTTTTTAATTTCAGTTATAATCTACAAAAGAAGATATTTTTATTTGACCCTATTTGATACATATTTGTTAGATCATGAATTACAGTGAATTAATTTTATTTTTATAAAAATATTCATACATTTTACCCAAATTATTTGATTTTAATTCAACCCATATGCTTTGTTGGAAATTTGGCTAATTAAAGCAGATTTGTTTGTGATTCATCTGAGTAGATTCTCATGGGATTCTTCAGATTTCCCATAATTGAAGTTCTTTGTTGGCAGTTAATGTTGATTGTAAAAATCCCATATAAAATAAGTTATTGCATTGCTGTAATCTTCTTAGTCAGATTGTATTATTTTAAAGTACAATAGATGCTTTGTGTCTAGTACTTGTATTATTTTGGTGTTATCCTGAACTGATACCCAGATGCTGTTTTTCAGTTGCAGATTTTCGCGGCTTCGTTGGTGTAGTAACGGTAAACTTAGTTATTGTTTAATAATACGTGGCGAAATCATAGGTTTTGATTAAATTGCATTTGATTAATGGAGTTGGAACTTGAAGTATTTTGATTTTTGATGAGTATGTTGAATGTCTTGGTTGTGTGGATCTTTAAAATGGTTTAAAATAAGGAGAACAAAGAGCGAAAAGTGAGACATTAAAGGAAAGAATTATTAAGAAATTGAGCAGAGAAGGTGGTGTGAGTTAGGGAGTCAGATGCTTGTGGGTGTCACTGACTGTAAGAATTATTTTAGTGTTATGAATCTGTTGTTTATGTCTCCTTACTTAACTTTGTTTGCCCGGGGTTCATGGGGTTTGCCGCCGCCCAGGGAAACAGGCACTTCTTAGGTTCTCTTGTCATACAAGAGAGTCCTTTATTAAAAGTTACTCGATCTCATTTCGTTCTCTCTCTTTCCCATTCACCATTCTGGCTTAGTTTCCGCCAAGATTCGTTCTTGCTGGCTGCATATGTCCTCTCCCTTGAGATCTTTCTAAATTATCTTGAAACTAAACCTTTCTGTTAAATCTAGTTATTTGGTCCCACTCCCTGGGGGGGTTAAATGTTCCATTTTCAGGAAAGTTTTCTTGATTCGTGTATATGTTTCATTATTGCATACACATTTGTATAGTCTGGGAATTGATGTCCTCGGATCGATTAGTTTTCTATAGAAGATACAGCACCTTTGTGTAAAAGTAACGATAGTCCAGATCTTTACCGACCAAGATGAAGTTTATGAAACTTGGATCAAAGCCAGATACATTTCAAAGTGAAGATAAGCATGTCAGGTTAGATCTTACAGCCTAGTAGTGATATTAGTCATGATAGTAGTATTGGTGCTGTTTTCAGTTTTTATTTTTTGCTGTTTTTGGGGTAATTTATGTTCTATTTCATTAATCGGTGTCTGTGCAATTTGTCTGACTTGCCAAGTTTAGATTAATTCTTATGCTGGGGACTTCCTGCCATTTTGGACAATTTGATCAATTTTAGGTGGTTGTATATTCACTGGAAAACATCCCTAGTCAAAAGTAGGGTATTTTAATTTCATCATATTGACAGTGATTTGTGTACTGCCTTTCCACTGAGCCAGACAGATTAAGCTATTTAGGTCTGCTAATTCATCTTCTGTTAGGAGAGAGAGATTTTGATTTTTGGCGATTTTAGGATAAATTTCTGGTTCACCTATTTGGAGTAAACAGAGCCTTAAGGTTCTGTACTAAGTTCTTTCCTTAAATCTGAATGGATCTTTAAAGAAAGAGATTAGGAGCATGTGGCATCTTCAGAGAGAATTTTCAACAAATTTATTAGAAACTTTCTCGAGTTTGGATCGAAAATAAGAACAGAATTTGTTTTGGATGTAGGGAAGCAAGAAAAAATTGCTTGAATCAATCATCATTTTTATTTATAATAAGCAATATATGATTGCATAGGCAAGTAAGAGATATCCTGCATACTTGCACATGAATCTGTTGGCTACTTGCAATTAAATGTTTATATATTATATGTGCTTCAATCTTTCTTTACTTTCAGCTTATAAATCTGATAATGAGATAATAATCACTTCAACATAGGTTACTGTCATTATTTGAAGATCCCTAAGCTTTATTGGCCTTCACACCTAAATTGCTTATTTTTTCTGCTCATAAGATGTCATAAGTTCGAAATATCATAAGTTTACATCAGCCCTACAAACATTATATGTATGTTTCTGATCCAAAATTTGTTATCACTTCTTTTAAATTTATTGGACTAATATCATTCCGAAAAAGGTGAACTATGGGCATGCCATTCTTTGTCAGGCACCCACTCCGATCTCTCAAGTTATTGTTATGGACCAGTCAACTATTTGAATAATTTCTTAACAGTAGAAAATTTGATGTGTGCTTAAAACTTCAATATTTCCTACTTCATTTACAAAATCGAATCATTAGCACACATGTGGAAATGCTTTGGTTCATTGTTCTAATTTAGATTAATGGAATGGATGCTATGTTAAATTCATTGATTAAAGTGTAGTGAAATAAAATTAATGTGTTCATGGTTTCTTTTGTTTGTATTAGCAGCAGTCTAATTTGGTTAGATGGCAAAATTTAATGTAGCAGTGTTAACCTACTTGATTTTAGCTAAATTTTTTTCTCTTCATAACTTTTATATTATATGGAGTTGACTTGGTTATTTATATCAATACATGTTCTATGGCATGTGTAGGTATGTGGCCACAGAGCTGTCTACTGACATTGTTGTCAATGTTGGAGATGTGAAGTTTTATCTGCACAAGGTACGACAATTATCAAGATAAATTGGTGCTTTTCTCTGAGAATTTCAGCTCTTAGTTGTTTGTCAGATGAAGGCCATCATGTTATTGTTCTGTTTTTATTTTATTTTTTTTATTTTATTTTTTTATTTAATCTTTGCATTTGCGGTAGTTTTTGTTCTTTTTTTGCATTTCCCATTGCTAGATGGCCTCGACAATATTATTAAATGGACTAACCTGAACCTCCTATACCTAGGATGTTTGGGCTTCACCTTACTCGTTGAAATATAGCATGGGCATGACAGGAATGTTTTCTTTGTCTTATGTTTAATTACAAATTATTGTGCTAAAAAGTATCAAAGGATTAGAGCCAATCCTGCATAATTCGTGGAAAGCGCAAATTATGTACATAACACTTCAACTATACCGAGGTGGTTGTCTTCAATGCCTCAGGGTTTCGAAAACTCAAAAGATTACTCTGGTTCGGTAAACTTATTCAATCACAACCCAGTAAAATGTTGTAAGATACCATTTAATTGGATGCTAAAAGAACTTCTTATAATTTGCTCAGTTTCTCTATTCTCCAAATAGAAAATTAAATGAAATAATTAAGAAAAGAACGAAGAATTTCTTCCATAGAATTTATGTTATCAGCTCACTAGACAATGACATATACCATAAAGTTTTCCCACAAATACTCACAGCTTCCTTGTATTTTTTTTACAGTTCCCTCTCCTCTCCAAGAGTTCTCAGTTGCAAAAGTTGGTTTCAACGGCAAATGAACAGAGTAATGATGAAGTAACTATCACAGACATTCCAGGAGGGCCTGCTGCATTTGAAATTTGTGCCAAATTCTGTTATGGAATGGTGGTTACCTTAAATGCTCACAATGTTGTTGCTGCTCGTTGTGCGGCTGAGTACTTGGGTATGCATGAAACTATGGAGAAAGGCAACCTTGCATACAAAATTGATGCCTTCCTGAACTCTATCATCTTTCGGAGCTGGAAGGATTCTATCATAGTTCTGCAGACAACTATGTATTTGCTCCCATGGTCTGAGGATCTGAAGTTGATTAGTCACTGTGTTGAGGCTATCGCTTCCAGAGCAGTTATTGACACTTCCAAGGTGGATTGGTCCTACACATACAACCGGAAAAAGCTTCTAGAGGAAAATGGAAGTGAATCAAATTGGAATGGTGCAATGAATTATAAAGTGGTGCCAAACGATTGGTGGGTTGAGGACTTGTGCGAGCTTGAGGTTGAGTTATATAAAAGAGTTCTAGTTAGTATCAATAGCAAAGGCGTTGTTTGTGGTGAAGTGATTGGAGAAGCTCTAAAAGCTTATGTGTATCGACAATTGCCTGGTCTCGTCAAGGGTGTGACTAGGTCTAGTGATTTGACAAATTATCGATCCACTGTTGATACAATCATTTTTCTCCTACCTGATGAGAAAGGTTGTGTGTCGTGTAGCTTTTTGCTGAAATTGCTAAAAGCAGCCATACTAGTAGACTCTAGTGAAGTGTTGAAGAAAGAGTTAATCAAGAAAATCGGACACCAACTAGAGCAGGCCTCAGTCAGTGACCTTTTAATCAGAGCACCAGAAGGTGATTCTTTGATGTATGATGTTGATATTGTACTGAACATAGTACATGAGTTTTTCATCCGAGATCAATATTCTGAAATTGAAGCACTAGAGGCAGATGAGGCTCAGGAATTTAAAAAACCTGGAATATTGTCTGAAGCATCAAAACTAATGGTGGCCAAGTTGATTGATGGATACCTTACTGAAATAGCAAGGGATCTGAATCTGCCCGTGTCAAAGTTTGTTGAACTCACAGAGATGGTATCTACAATCTCCAGGCCTGGACACGATGGGCTATATCGTGCAATTGACATGTATCTCAAGGTAATTAATCTATATTTATTATGCATCATTGTCAAGAATTCTTGGTTAATGCATTTCTTGTCTCTGCCTGAGTACTCAAAGTGTATTGGTATGTGAAATATTATGCAATAGTTCATTAAGTGTAGTGGCATAAAATAATTAATAAAAACTACAATTGCTCTGTAATTAAAAAAAAAATAAAAATTAAAAAACACTACAATTATCTGGTGCAAAGATTAAGAAAAGTGGATAATGGAAAACTAAGAGTGAGTTATATAAATAGAAAATAAGCCCAAGTTTGATTGAAATGATAGTGTGCAAATAATTTGAGACAACCAATAATGAAAAATCTGTACCAAAAAAAAAAAAAAAAAAAAGGGATGAAGTCATGAAGGGAGTGGATTTTGGCACATTGCTATTGCAACTGCTGTACTAGGATTCAAGATCATCTCAAATTACAGTTCTTGATTTAAATTTGTAACAACATAACTTGCACATTTTTTCTACATTTCAAATTCTTAATCCTGCTTTTCATAGGCTTTATTTTTACTCCGGGTATTTTTAAAAGTAGTTCTGTTGAGATTATACGTCCATTCTTCCTATATGGATCAAAGTAGATACTTATGTTGAGATAATTCTTATTTTATTGATGATAATGGTTTCTTCAACTGGATAGAAGAATTCAAAAGAAAACTTTATACTACCTCCGTTAAATAGTAGTTGCAACTTTGGGGTATTATTTGCGAGATATAAAATATTCCAAAGTTACAACTAATATTTAACGGAGGTAGTATCATAATAGAATTTGGGGGTGAGTTGTGAGTAGGAAAAGAAATTTGAGACCCATTTTTTTCATTTCTCTGCTGTAACTTAGAAGTATCTTGTCGTGTCTGTAAATGCAGGAACACCCTGAGATCAACAAGAGTGAGAGGAAGAAGATATGTAGATACATGGACTGCAAGAAGTTATCAGTCGATGCATGCATGCATGCAGTGCAAAATGAAAGGCTCCCAATGAGGGTGATTGTTCAGGTGCTTTTCTTTGAGCAGGTTCGTGCTGCAGCTACATCTGGGACCAGCACACCTGACCTGCCAAAGAGCATCAGAGACTTGAACAGTGGGTCTATGAGGAGCTCAAGGTCAACACCTAACGCAGATGAAGATTGGGACACAGTAGCTACAGCCGAGGAATTGAAGGCCTTAAAGGGTGAGTTAGCTGCTTTGAAGTTGGAGAGGAAGAGAAGTGAGAAATTCATAGAAGGTAGACCTAGTGTTGACAAGACTTCTCTTCACAAAGTGAAGGGGTTGCTCATGACGAAGAAGATATTTTCGAAGCTTTTGTCAAACAAACATGCTAATGCTGATACAAGCGGTTCAGATTCATCAGAAAGTCCCAGTACTGCAAATCCTGAATATGCAAAATCTACGTCTTCTGCTAACAGGAGGATTTCAGTTTCTTAGTACATTATTGAATTATAGTTGTCTCATTGTAAGTCTCCTGAGTTCTGATCCCCCCTCTTCTTTTGTTGTAACACTTTCGATTTTCTGTTGAACACATTAGATGTCTAGGATTAGTGATTATCTGCCCTTTCGAGTAAAAAGGTAAGCTGTACTGCTGTAGTATGGGGAATATTGGAGATACAGCAATGTTAATTAATAATTATATATGGACAAAATGTCTATAATTTAACTTAAAAAAAATTACTGATTGACATTGATGATTGATCAATCAAATTTGTTATCTTTGATCCATTTAACCTACGCAGTACTTCAGAAAATTCCTGAATTTGAGAGCAGTATTGTTTTGATAATTTGAAGTGATATTTAACAATTTAGCATAGTTGTAGCTAGATGTTTAGTTTATGTAGAGTTTTTCTATAGGCGGGATTGATAAATCAAAATAACCTAATTCTAGATTGTATTCGTACTAATGTATGAAATGTTAGAATATTAGAAGTTTGATCATTTATGTATGTTCAAATAACGTGTCCATTTGTATATGTATATATTTCTTCTAAATTTTTTAAGTTGAAGTCTTTCATGTACTACACTTTGATTTGTATATGTATATATTTCTTCTAAATTTTTTAAGTTGAAGTCTTTCATGTACTACACTTTGAATATCAGTTGTTAGATTATTCTCAATATATATCTTCAAAATGTCAAAATTCTATGATTATGACTTATTGATAATTAGAGATAAGTATGTGATTGAAATTGCATATTGGTAAATTTGAAAATAAAAAAAAGGCTGCATTTGTCATTTTTTTTATTTTTTTTTTGACAATAGAAAATTCAACTATTACAAACTACGAAACACTTAAACGAGCCAAACTAGCTCTTACAAACCGATATAAACAAAAGCAAAAACTTAAAAACTTTTTGATTGACAAGTCTCGATTACTTGTTACCAAATCTGCTTGTCTTGGATCATACTTCTTAATAGGCACCACAGTTGAGATAAGGACGGAGTAAACATTGTTGTAGAAGAGCAAACCCATAGAGGCAAAAGAGTTGGTAAAAAGAGAGTGTCATGGCCACACCGGGTAAAACGAGTCGCAACTTGCGACCGTGTACCGTAAACAGGTACTCGTAGCCTCTCCTCAAGAAGAGGGACTACAGATGACATGCTATGAACCCCCAAACTTTGCATTTGTGGAGCCGCCTTCAGGGCAACAATTTGAAAAACCGTTGCTAAATTATCAAGAGAATTAGACATAGTCAATTCTCTAAATATCTTCCGACATTTGAAATCGAAATAGAACACTAACAAGGACCAAAGAACACCAACCAACTCTTTATCGAACACCACAACCAACAAATTAGAAACAAACAGGGCACTATAGTAGTACCTTGTAACCCTTATGGAAGAAACCAACACAAACCAACGCTCCCACAATAACACTCCTTTATCCTTTAAAAATTCAACTACCAAAAGAGAGTTCCACTCAAGGCATAGCCACCCCACCAAAGTGTAAGAAATACACCATAGGACTATACCAACAAACCAACAAGACAACAACCATCCATATAAAAAACTTAAGTAAAAACAACTTACAAAGTTAAGTAACATACACCAACCAAGAGACCCCCTAATTGCAAAAGAGGTTGAAAACAAGCTTAAAACAAGGAAAGAGAGGTAAATAAACAGACCATAGGTAAAGCCATAATCACCGGTACCCATAACTCGGAACACGAAGGCAAAGAACTCCAAAACCCTAACCCTAACTTCTTCGTTTCTGTCATGAACCACTCCTGACGGCGGCGATAGGCCTAGCCTTACCAGCACCAGGAACCACGAAACCCTAACCCTAACCCTAACTTTACCGATTCCGTCACGCTCAAAACACCAATGACCGTTGACGGCGGCGTTAGGACTAGCCCTTACAAATAGTTTAATATATTAATTAGCAAACCCATGAAAATTCGAGATAAGTACTACCAAGCTTCCGTTTTTTGGTCAAATTTCAAAGGTATGTTGGTATTTGTGTGTGTTTTTTTTTTTTTTTTTTTTTTTTTTTTTTTTTTGCTTTTTTTATTCTCCTAGATTTATGTTTATTCGATGTATTTTTGTTTTTTTTTTTGGATTTTTGTACATTTTAGTTCATTTTGTATGGATTTGTGTTCGATTTTGTATGGATTTTTTTTTGGAGTTTTTGTATAATTGTTTGACATTTGTGTAAGTTTTGGTGAGTAATTTTGTGGTTTTTGGACATCACTTTGAGGCCCGTCTTAGAGCCGGTTTTGTATGATACACAGTACAGGGCCTCCAAAAATGAGGGCCCTAAAATTTCGTTGGTTCAAGTTAAAAAAAAAAAAAAAAAAAAAAAAAAAAAAGTAAATATCTCATCTTTATTATATTGTCGTAAAACAAGGCTACCATTTCCAAAACTCTATCCAAACTCTTTAGATAATCAAATTCTTCTTTCTTCTCCAAAATTAAGTCTTTGACTTTAGTTTTTATATTTCCAATTAAAATTAAACACTCTTTTTTTATCTCTCTTTACTGGCTAATTCCCTTAATTGTACCCAACTACTACAATTTTTTAGGCAAACTTAAAGCAACAATTTATTCTCAATTATAATAATCCGACTTCAATTCACATGAACATCCAATTTATTTTCATACTCTATTAAACCAATATTAAGTACTTCCATACCCACAAACAATTACAATCTTTGCACCAAAAAACAAACAATTACAATCTATTTTCAATTGTAATTCGGTTCAATCCACAAGTTCTTTAGCCAAGAATTCTTCCATTAGAGTTTGTAGACCTGGAACTATGGTCTTTGCTCTATGGAGTGTAGAGGTTGATTAAATCACGGATTGTGTTTCTCTTTTTTTCCTCTGAAATGTGAAGCATTAATTTTCAAGAAAAACTTAGCATTATTAATTTTGGCTCTATAAATTGTTAAAAAAAATCGTTATATAATAATGATGCTTTTTACCTTTAGTTAAAAATGGTCCTTAAAAATTATTAGGGCCTAATTTTTACTATTAGAACAGGGCATCTAAATTGTCGGAGACGGCCCTGATCACTTTGGATTGAAAGCTTCATAGAGCACTTGGTAGCGATGTCTTTTATGGGAACAACTTGTAGGTTTATATTTAAAGTTCTTCTATTGATCTTGCATCCACCACTTTTGTATTTTATTTTACTTTTTTTTTTTTGTTGGACAGAAATGTTTTATTGTATTAATGAGTCATCTAGTAGGATTTTGTTTCGAACAACTATTGAACTTGTTTTTATCAATGTTGTAAAGAAGGAAATGTAATTTTTTGTGATATTCACTTGTAGAATTTAACTTTTAAGGAACATTGTCTTATGTTTTGAATATTTTTACAAAATATTATTAGTGTGGTAAATGCATTATATATTCTACGATTTAAATATGTTTAACTTGCTCGTTGCTTGGTTGCTCCCCTCCTTTCAGGTGCTCTTCTATACTATGCATTATGCAGTTGCTTCAACACTTTGAAATATATCCACCATAAATAATCCTAATCCTTATTTCAAAGTGTTGAAGCCGTCGGAGGTTTCGCACTTGCGGAGCTTGAAGCTTTCAATTCCGAGCTTATTGAGTGAGCGAAGCACGCATCTAGGGTGAGTTTCTTTCTCTCTCTTCTCTTTGTTTGTTTGTGTTTTGTTTATTTGCATGCTTGTGTTTATGTTGTAATTATTATGCATGTGATTCGATTATCGGGTTTTGTTTCCGCGCGGTGTTGGACACCGCAAAATCCAACAGCGGTATATGAGCCTCTTGCATTTAATTTTCACAACTAAAAATTAATTAAGGTGATTTAAATGGATTTAAATTTCTGGTTTAGCATCCTAATTAGATTAGGAGCTCATTTTTAATTAGATTAAAATTGTATTTATGCTATTTTTGGCTTATGAACCCCGATTTTGACTCAAAAATAGTGAATTTTGGGTGGAATCAACGTTGTAAATCATTCTTTATCCACAAAGTATTTAAAAATGGCCTTCCAAAAGCCAAAATCCACCTAGAAAGTGGTTTTCGAAGGGTTTTTTGTTTTTGACGAATTTTTTTTTAAATCTTTATACCTTGATTAATTTTGGCATGCAATTGTTGGATTATGTGTTTGATTATACCATTAATCTTCTGCAATTTTAACCCTTATTAAGCATGTTTATGAAGTCATATTGGTGCTTAATTTGGTGAGCTCTCATTTTCACATAAACTTGAAATTACACATTTTTCCAAATAAATTGCTTGGAGTGTGAATGTTTATGGTGGTATGTATTTTTGAAGCCCCCTAAAATGTTAAAGACTAAATCTTTAATTGTTTATTTGGTTGGATCTTAACTTGCTAAAATCCATAATGAACTAATTTTCGGTTTTAATCATTTTGGAAGTTCATTAAAATCTTAAATGTTTATACTTATGCTTGAAATATTATTGTTCTTCATATTGGAAGGTTACAATATTCAAATGTGCATAAGTGTTGGATAAATTATTTCATTGAAAGATTGGTTATTTATTCAACTATTTTGTCAAATCTCATTGTTAATATGTTGCTTAAATTAATTGTGAGAATAACCCTCAATTTTTATTGCATCAAGTTGAGCCAAAAATAATTTAAAGATTGGTTCTTGAATTCATTTTGGTTTGTGCACTATAATTGAATTTAATTAAGTTGGACTTATTTTATTTTCAATATGACTCAATATTAGTTTTACAATCAATTTAGAATTAATTTATGTCACACAAAAATTTGGAATAAAAGGAAGCACAACTCACAAAATCGAAGTCGATGCTTTGAGCACCTAGGCTCGGCTAGTAGGGCTGCTTGCGACAGCCCACATGTTATTGCCGAGCCAAGGCATGTGCGAGGGTGTGCGAGGGAGTGTGTGCATGTGATGCGTGTTGCGTGGGGGCGCGACTGCCAGACATTGCCCAGCCGCAAGGCAAGGCTGCCTTGCAGCGCATGCAGCTAGCACATGCATGCGCGCTAGCACCAACGACACGCAAGCATGCTGGGCATGCTGCGACGACGCTGCTAGTGCTGGCATGCACTTGTGCGCTGCTGTGGCTGTGCGACCAGCATCCACGCATAGCATCTAGGTAGGGTGCCTAGCAAGCCTAGCCTTATGGCTTGGATGCTAGGCTTTTAGCCATTGAGGGGTTATTATTTTGCGATTTTGCGGTTTTGTTTTAATTAAAACCAGGATAGGCCTCAGTTTTTCCCGGCACTTGCAAAATTATTTGGCAAAATTTTGGGTTAACCGGCTCAATTAGTTTTAATTCGATTAATTTTAATTAAGTTGGAGGTGGAATTTAGTGGGAGCTTCATTAATCATTTTGAGCTATTATTATTGCGTTAATTCACATAATCAAATAATTACTTTGACTAGTTTTAATTAGGCGTGTTAATTGGATTAACCACCTAAGTTATTTACTAGTTTGCGCTCGTTTTGAATTGTTGCTTGATTTATTTTGTAAAATGCATTGGTCATTCACTTTAGAAGTGAATGGATGAATGAAATAGATATTCTAGTGCAGGTTTTACAAAATGACAACTAGTGGGGCCTAACTAGGATAGTACATACGGACTACGTTCCGTTTTGTATTTTTGTAAATCTAAACACGGACTGCGTGCGGGTAAGTATTTTTGTACTTAAATTATTTAGATTGGTCCTAGCTTTTCTAGTAGTTGCATAATTGGTGGTTAATTCTCGAAACACTAGTAGAAAAAATGAAATAGACACCGTAGCTTTCGCACCGGTTTTTGAAAACCGATGCTAAAAAAAAGGCGAGATTGGGAAATACACTTTTCGCACCGGTTTTGAACCAAACCGGTGCCAATTTATCTTTTTCCCACCGGTTCATAAAAGCCAAAAAAAAGGAGGGAAAGAGATTTCGCACCGGTTCAGACCAAACCGGTGCAAAATAAAGAATTAGCACCGGTTCAAACCGGTGCGAAATATTAAAAAAAAATAGTCAGACTTCATTTATTTCTTTCCCTTCCTATTTTCATTCATTTGTTTCCCTCGTTTTTTCAATTCACTCTTCTCTTCCACCATCTCCACTGAAGCAGTTTCTGAGCTTTCTCACCTCCATTGAAGCAGTTGCACCTCCTTCTCTCTCCATATCTCTATCTCCTCCATTGAAGCTCGTGCTCTTTATTCTCCATTGAAGCGGATTTTGAGCTTTCTCACCTCCATTGAAGCAGCTTCGAGGTAAGATTTTTTTGTGGTCTTTTTAAACTATCGAATTCCTTCGCACTCTTGGGGTTTTTGAGGTTTGCTTTTCAGTTTAGTAATTTTAGGGTTCTTGTAATCTAGGGTTTGTCATTGAAGCGCGCACGGCTCCACCTCAACAACGACCTTCTTGTCAAGGCCTCAAACAGTGTACATTGGTGTCTGGTGAGCTTGCCTTTCCGGTTTCCTTTACTTGTTGTGCATTGAGATATTGCTTTATTGTGAGCTTGCATGCAAATTTTTTATGGTATTTTTGTTTTAGTGGTTGGGCTGCGGTGGTATTTAGTGGATAAATTGGGGGTTGTGACGGAGTAGGGGAGTTTGGTGAGGTGTGGCAGGTGTGGACGTGTGGTGTGGGTTGGATTGGTTGATTGGTGAAGCAGGGGCTGCTGGTTTTGTTCGGTGAGTGTGGCTGCAACCACTAAAATAGCTATGGGCTGGTGCAGTTGTGTCTTGGGTTCTGTTCAGCTCAATGCCTGGTGCAGGTTGTGTCGGTGTGTGGTGCTTTGCCGCTTGCTGTCTGAGGGCATTGTCTCTCCCTTGCCGGCTGTGTTTGTCTTAGTGTTGGCCTGTTCTATTCCGGAGGTGTCCTGCTCCTGTTTTGTGCTTTCTGTTCTTGTGATGGTTGTTTTGCTTAGTCTTTGTGGGTGTTGTTTGGGCTGTTCTATTGTTCTTCTGCTTGCTGGTGCCTACTGTTGTCCTGGTCTGCTAGGGGTACTACGTTGTTGTGCTGCGCTGTAGTGCTGTTGGTGGTTGGTGGTGCTGTGTTGCTGTGTAGTGTGTTGTTCTTAGTGGCTGTATGGGCTGTTTTTTTGCTCTTGTTATTCTGTTGCCTTGGTTTTGTCTAGTTTGTGCTAGGATTGTTCCCTTTTTGTAGGGTGTGTGTGTTTTTTGTCTTGGTCCTTGTCTAGTTTGCGCCGTTTATATGTCCTTTTGTTTTATTCTTTGGTAATAAAAGTTTCTTATTTACCAAAAAAAAGAGTGTGGCTGCAACAACTTGGTGGAGCAACTGAGATGAGTGCGTGGTGGTTGGGCGGTGCTTGTATGGTTGGTGTTGGCGACTTGCACTGGGTGGTGCTGCGAAGTGGTGGTGTATCAAGGTGGTGGCCTGTGTGGCGGGTGTTATGGAGGATGGTTAATTAGCCGTGGTTGCTACAATTGCTAGCTTTTGCATAATTTATCCCCATTTTCTCTCTCCTTCCTTAATCATATGCCCCTATCTTTTCTTATTATCCATTTCTCATACTTACTAACTTTTGTTTTTTATTTTGTTTTTTCTTTTTGTTTTTTTATAGATTCATATGTGAATTGAAGCACAAGTTTATTAGCCTGAAGACTACATATTTAGCTTAAGTGGGAAGTTAGAAAGAATACATCCATTGTACTTGCTATATTGGTATGAATTATACACTTTACCAAGCTATATTTCTTTCTCTTTATTCATTTAATAAAAGTTTTTCATGCTATTACAACTTGTGTATTATTTAATGACAAATAAATACAACAATATATGAAATGCTTGCATCATCATATGCCTAGATACCCGTTCAAGGCTTTCTCATTAGGAGAAAGTCTTGAATAGTCCCCGGTTGGGACTGTTCTTGAACGTTTACTCTCACTTAGGTGGTGAGTGTATGTCTTTTTTTCGATTTTAAGGAATATCTTGGCTTACCATTTCCTCACCCTGTTCTCTAGGTACGTATGTGGGTAATTAATTACCTACATCGTGTACTTAGAGAACTGGGGGGAAATGCTGCCGAATTTTCCTTAAAATTGGAAAGTCGACATACATTCACTAGTGAGATTACACGTTCAAGGATGGGTTAGGTTGGAGTGATAAGGACCCTTTGGAAGCATATATGCATTATTTTTATCTATGTGAATGTTATATGCATGGTTTGTGTTTGAATTTGATTTACATATATAATAGATGTAGCAATTATACATTATTCGTAATATGTTGCTATGTTTAGAGACAATTTACTTAATGGAGAAGGATCGTGGCTGGATGTATGGTAGACGTGATACATTGGAATTCTTTGATGGGGTTCAAGAGTTTAGCGAGAGGGCTACATCTTATCAGCGTAGAATGGGTGTCGATTGGCTCTATTGACCTTGTGTTAATTGTAATAATGTGAAGGTGGTCAATAGTGTTGAAATCATTAGAGATCATGTAATTTGTCGTGGGTTTAGGCTTAAATACCATGTGTGGATTTGGCACGGTGAAGAAGGATAGTACAGTGGGGATGTTGATGGGAATGATGTGCATGATAGAAGCAATGAGATTCGTGTGGACGAGGAATACAGGAATGATGAACATATTATTGATAATGGTGATGAGGATGGATTTGAGGATGATCAGATGGATGAGGTCGAGGATGAAGGGGTGGATGAGATGATGCTTGGTGTTGAAGGTGACATGTTTGAGTCATTATCGGAGGCTTCTAAAAAGCCTTTGTACCGTGAGTGCAAAAAATACTCCAAACTATCAGCTGTGCTAACACTTTTTAACATTAAGTTGAAGCATGGGTGGACGGACAATAGTTTTACTTCTTTGTTGACTGCGTTAAGTGAGATGTTGCCTGACGGGAATGAAATTCCTAAGTCTTATTATTACGCATATAAGCTCATGTGTCCATTTGGTTTGGAGTATAAGAAGATACATGCATGTCCTAATGATTGTATTCTGTATCGAAATGAATATGAACAATTGGAGGAGTGTCCACGATGCAAGAAGTCGTGCTACAAGCGCATGAGTTGCAATGTTAGACTAAGGGACCTCCTGCTAAGGTGTTGTGGTATGTTCCCATTATTCCAAGGTTTAAGCGTCTATTCTCAACACCAAAAGACGCTAAAAACTTGAGGTGGCATGCAGAGGGAAGAAAGAAAAACAGAATGCTGAAGCATCCAGCCGACTCCCCGCAATGGAAGAACATTGTCAGAAATTTAAGGCTTGGGTTGTGCACGGACGGGATGAATCCATTTGGCACTCTTAGTACCCAACACAGCACATGGCCGGTACTTTTAGTGATCTACAATTTGCCTCCTTGGTTGTGCATGAAACGGAAATACGTAATGCTTTCACTTTTGATAACGGGGCCAAGGAAACCTGGAAACGACATAGATGTTTATCTTGTGCCACTTGTTGACAATTTGAGAAAGATGTGGGACGAAGGGGTTTCCGTTTTTAATGCTCATAAGAATAAGATGTTCACATTGCGTGCAACTCTTATGTGGACCATTAATGATTTTCCTGCATATGGCAACTTGTCTGGGTACAAGAACAAAGGAAAAAAAGCATGCCCCATTTGTATTGATGACACCCCAAGCATACACCTTGATAATTGTCACAAAGAGGTGTACGTGCGGACTCGAAGGTTGCTCAGGCGCGATCACCCATACCGTAGGTAAAAAAAGGTTTTTGATGGGAAAGCGGAAGAGGGGACTGCGCCTAGGCCATTGACTGGTGAGGAGGTTTATGCTCGAGTTAAGGGTATACGAACGGTATTTGGGAAAACATAAAATGTTGCGGACTCAACTGCTCTCTTTAAAAAAGAATTAATATAGGCCTTACTAGTCATATAGGCCTTACTTGGGCCATTTTGGATCAAAATGCGTCCTAAAACACTTGAATTGCTCAATTCATGTAATTTCAAGCCTTAACCGCCTATAACTAAGTAATAATGACACGTTATGAGTAACAATGAGTTGATTTAACAAGAAATGTAGGAAATAGGCATCCTAGTAGTCATATAGGCCTTACTTAGGCCATTTTGGAGCAAAATAAGTCCTAAAACACTTGAATTGCTCTTTTCATGTGATTTCAAGCCTTAGCCGCCTATAATTAAGTAATAATGACATGTTATGAGTAACAATGAGTTGATTTGACAAGAAATGTAGGAAATTGGCATCCTAGTAGTCATATAGGTCTTACTTGGGGCATTTTGGATCAAAATGCGTCCTAAAACACTTGAATTGATCAATTCATGTAATTTCAAGTCTTAGCCGCATATAACTAAGTAATAATGACATGTTATGAGTGAAAATGAGTTGATTTGATAAAAAATGTAGGAAATAGGCATCCTAGTAGTCATATAGGCCTTATTTGGGCCATTTTGAAACGAAATGCGTCCTACAACCCTTGAATTGCTCTTTTCATGTGATTTCAAGCCTTAGACGCCTATAACTAAGTAATATTGACATGTTATGAGAAAAAATGAGTTCATTTGATAAGAAATGTAGAAAATAAGCGAAGTAGTAGTCATATTATAGGCCTAACTAAGTAGTTTTTGCCTAAGTGAACTTGTAAATGTATTTTTACATGCATAACCTAAATAATTACTTATAACATAATTTTTGTTTGTTCCAAATTTTGCAAGGTACAAAAGGGAGGTCCTTTGACAAGCAAGAAATTTAATGAAGTTCGAGACATGTTGGCGTCTTTCATCACCTTTAATTTGTAAATGTCATTTCTATTTGAATTTATATTTTGTTAACTTTTTAACTACATTATTATGACACTTTTTTTTTGAGGAATTGTAAATATATATGACCCTTTATTGTATTGCATTTGAGATTATTAAATAATATCTATGTATTATTTTTATTATTTCAATTTAGAAATTATTATTATTATTATTATTATTATTATTATTATTATTATTATTATTATTATTATTATTATTATTTATTGCCGAAAAAAACAGTTAAAGGCACCGGTTTAGGCTTCAAACTGGTGCCAATTGTATTTAAAAAAAAAAGCACGCCATGACCTTTTAGCACCGGTTAAACAGTGCTAAATCTTTAATTGCCATCGGTTTTGAACTGGTGCAAAATCTTCAGAAATTTGGCATCCCTAAAATCTGGAACGGTTCAAAACCGGTGTGCAAAGGGGGGTTTGAACCGGTGCTAAAGACCATGTTTCGCCCAGTGAAAACGACGTTTCTAAAGAAGACGAAGCCAAGAAGATGCAATGAAGGCCCTTGAAGATTTGAAGATTCAAGTTTCAAGGGGTCATGCTAGTTGCCAAATGCATCTTTATTTATGCCTTATATATTTTTTTCTTATATATAATCGTGATATTATACGTCTAGAGTTAGGTCGATTTCCGACGGAAACATTATTCCGTCGGAAAATTAGAATTTCCGACGGATTTTAATTCCATCGGATATTTCCGATGAATTCAATAAATCCGTCGCAAATCCGTCGGAAATTTCCAACGGAAAATAAGTGCGTCGGAATTTATGTACCTTCCGACGGATTTTTCCGTTGGAAAGTACAATTTTTGACGGATTTTTATTCCGTTGGAAATTTCCGATGGAATTTCCGTCGGAATATAATTTTAAAAAAAAAAAAGAAAAAAAGCTTTTAATTAAAACCCTAACAATACCCCACTCGCTTTCTGCCTCTTTTTTTTTTTTTTCCTTTCCCCCTTCTCTTTCTTTATCCCTTTCCCCTTCTCCTTTCTCTCTGTCATTCTCCTTCTCTCTCCTCTTCTTCTTCTTCTTCTTCTCGTTCTCCTTCTCTCTCCTCTTATTTTTCCTCTTCTTCTTCTCGTTCTCGTTCTCCTTCTATCTTGCCAGTTTCTTCTCTCCTCTTCCTTCTCTCATCTTCTTTCCCCCATCTTCCTAGCTACCACCTACCTCCAGCTACTACCACCGCCATCACTAATCACCGCCGCAACAACAACACCAACACCGACCTGAACCGCAAAATCAATAAAAACATGAACATCAACGGCAAAAAGCAAAGGTTTTTAAGTGAAATTCGACCATGAAAACTCTAAATCTAGAGTTTCCATGGTTGAATTTGGCCTCATAAACCCAATTTCGAGGTTTTGGAGGTGAAATAAGGTATGTATCTCTTTTTCTTTATTTATTTATTTATTTATTTTTTTAATTTTGCTAGTTGTTTTTTTTCGATTTTTTTTTTAATATTTACGGTGGTTGGGTGTTTTGGCGCTGTGGTGGGTGGTTTTAGGTGGGCCGTGGTGGGTGGTTCGCTTATGATGGGTGTTTTTAGATTTGGGTTTAGGTGGTCCGTGGTGGATGGTTTTAGATATGGGTTTAGTTAGGGTTAGGTGGGGTGGGTTAAGGTGGTGGGGTCTGGTTCGGTTAGGGTTAGGAGGTGGGTTTGGTTCGGTTAGGGTAAGTTGTGGGGTGGTGAGGTGGTTCGATTAGAGTGGTGGTGGTGTTTCGGGCAGTTGGGTGGGGGTGGGGTTGACGATGGGTTATAGGGTGGTTGAAGGTGGTGAATGGTGATACGCCATGACGGTGGTGGTACGGAGTATTTTGTTTTTTAATTTGATTGCAACCTTTTTCGACAGAATTTCCGGCGGAATTGAGTTCGTTGGAAGTTTCCGACGGACTTTTTCCGGGCCAGAAAATCTCTTACGACGACTTAATTCCGGCAGAAGTTCTGTCGTAAAATTGTTTCCAACGGAATTTCCGTCGAAAAAGGTCGATTTACCTACAAAAACTTTTCCGACAACCAGTTCTGACGGAAATTCCGACGGAAAACAGGGTGTTTCCGACGGATTTTTTTTCCATCGTAATGGCCTGTTTTCTAGTAGTGTTAGATGCATGTTTAGGATTTCGAATGTTGAATGATTAATTTAGTTCACTTAAATCAACCAACATTATAGAAACCTTAAGTCCCTATAAATTTGAGTTAAAAATTTGTCATTCTAAAATGACTCTTACCAAACTAATGAGAATAGTAATGGGCTATATGCCAAAGTAAGACATTACTACTTTCCCAAGGACGTAAGGTATACTAGGTATACGCGTTAGTTTTGGTTAAACTCAACGATATCAGTAAGGAGTTCTTAGATGTCGTGGCAATGAAGATAAACGCCTAGAAAGCATTAGATGCGACGTTTTATCGAACCAAGAGTAGCTTAGAGCTATTAGCAATTTGATAGATTACCTTAAAATATTAAGTTTTAAGACAGGCCAGAGCATGCTTAATAACTTTTTGGTTTTTGGGGTCTTGGAATCGTTTTATTCTAGCCTAAAAGGGACAATTTTAAAATGTGTGTATATGCTTTAAATTTCAAACTTATTGGTTATATGAATGGTTTTTCATTGCAAATTCTTTCAATTGTAGAATCATGTCTGCACTAATAACAACAACAACATGTGTCCGAAACTCCTCGACAAGTTGGCTTTTAGCCTAAACTTGGTCAATTTCAAGGAATGGGAAGAGGAACTCCGGAGAACCCTACAGAATTGTTCCATGTAGGACATATTGGACACTCCCATTCCAAGCTTCTTTTCTAAGGGACTCATTAGTGATGAAACTCATGAAACTTGGTTCTTGGATTGTTACAAGGTCACAAATTTGATGAGGAACTCCCTTCCGGAGGATTGGAAGAGGAAGTTCACCTCATACCTTCCGGACATGCTTCTAAATAGTCTTAAGGAGCTAGTCAATATGACTTCTGAGACTCGGGACTTGAATGTTCATAACTTGACTAGGTCATTTGTGAACATGTAAATCAAGGCCCCGGAGGAAGGTTGCCTTGCCGAGGAAAGGTACCGAGTTTGTTCTAGGGTCTACAATACCAAACTGAGACCCGGTATGCCCCTCCAACCCCATGTGCTTAGAATGACTAGGCTCTTCAAACACATGAAGCTTCTTGGAATCCCATTAGAGGATGAGATGGCGGGTCATATCTTGCTTGGCTCACTCCACTCGGGCTATGATGCACTTAGGATTCAATGGCAGCCGGGAAGGAGTCACACTCATTAAATGAGGTGATGCAAGTGCTACGACGCAAGGCCGACTCCTATGGAGCTACCAAGATGCCCTTGAGAGTGAAGAAGAAGGAGTTCAAGAACAAAGTGAATATGCGATGCTTCTATTGTGGTGGGCAAGGCCATTACAAGAGGGAATGCAAGATCTTCCAAGAATATGAGGAAAAGAGGAGTGTTCCATCTACCTCAGGTATCTTCATTAACACTTGTGTATAAGCTATTCATAGGTATTGGATACCATGTATGACTTGCTTTATGCTCCTATTTCAGGGACCAAGTGAGAGGCTTCACAAGTGAATGTGCAACTACAACCGGATAATGAGGATGGTCCTTCTGTCGTGTTTGTAGGCACAATATTTGTCTTTTGGCTTGTAATAGAACTAATTCTCGTTTTATTATGATTTGCTTACCATCGAACATATTTTGATCTATGGCGTTGGACGCCGGGTTGTTTTGATCACAAGACTATAATAATGGTTGTTTTGAATGTCTTTCTTATATGTTTTATGGGATTACACATTTTTTAATGTGACTAGGCAAACAGGTTTATAATGTTAATGATACCACCAAAAGGGCTAAGACCACCGAGTCGAATCAAACCTACTTGTGGCATTGTTGTTAAACGAATCAAGAAACTTCTTCATGAAGGGATTCTTTATTCATTCGACTTAGAGTTGTTTGAAAACTGCGAAGGATGCCTATTTGGCAAGATGATAAAACAGTCATTCTCCAAGTTGGGAGAAAGGGCTAGTGACTTATTGGGTCTTATACACACGGATGTATGTGGACCAATGAGCACAGTACAATGGAAAGAAAGTGTTATCGCTATTTTATCACATTCACGGATGACTATAGTAGATATGGCTATGTATACCTTATGCCACACAAATCTGAATCCTTTTAGAAATTCAAATAATTTCAGAGTGGAGTGGAAAATCAGCTTGGCAAGAAAATCAAAGCCCTTCGATCGGATTGAGGTAGCGAGTATTTAAGCTACGAATTCGACGACCATCTGAAAGAACACGGTATTCTCTCAAAATTAACTCCACAATGGAATGGAGTGTCCGAGAGGAGAAATCGAACTCTGTTAGACATGGTTCGATCCATGATGGGTCTTACCGATCTTCCTATCTCTTTTTGGGGACATCCACTTCAAACTGCGGCACTAACACTAAATCACGCTCCGTCAAAAGCTGTCGAAAAGACTCCATATGAATTATGGACGAAGAAACCTCCACGGTTGTCTTTTCTTAAGATTTGGGGTTGCAAAGCATATGTCAAAAGACTCATATCTGACAAGCTTGCACCAAAATCATACAAGTGTTTCTTTGTGGGCTATCTAAAAGAAACAAAGGGGTATTACTTCTACAACCAGTCTGAGAACAAAATATTTGTTGCTTGAGATGGTGTCTTTTTGGAAAAGGAGCATCTTTACAAAATGACAAGTGGGATAAAAATCGAACTTGATGAAATTTGAGAAGATTAGCAACAAAGTCAACCTGAAAAAATTGACAATCAAAGTGCTTTGGAAGTAGCTGTTGAAAATGGTCAGAGTCAAACCGACAATGTTCAAAGTCAAAATGACATAGCCGAGAATCAACTATTTAGATAGATAGTGACAATGCAAATGCTCAATCTATTACCCTACGTAGTCGCAAAGGCCAAGATCTCAACTAGATAGATACCTCATTGTTGTCTTAACCGAGAATCAAGACATCTTAGTTATGTATGAAGATAAGCCAGCGACATACAAACAAGCTATAACGAGTCCCGACTCTGCAAAATGGCAAGAAGCCATGAAATCCGAGATGG